AAATGAAAAGCACAGTATAAGGCATTAAATAAAGCTTTGTTATTTGGAGTTCAGACAATACTAGTCTTGGAAAATCTTAAAAGGATCTTGATTCATTATGGATCTGGAGGTATAAAAAGCAGTATCCCAACAGCTTGTCCATTTGTTTTCCACTGATATAAATTGGTGCACATTTAATCTACAGTTATAAAAACCGAACAAAGCATCAGGGGTCAATTCTATAATTGTCTGAAACTTTGCATTACTGTGCCTTATTTTGAAGTATTCTGTAAAGCTGTGGCTTTACTTTCATCTAGCTCTTTGTTCTCAGACTTGCTTCTTCCATCTTGTTCTCCTGATAATATTTTTCCCTATTCCATTCTTTTTCTGTGCATCAATAAAGTTAAGCCAGTGAGGTCTTTGATCCTTGAAGAAGAGATGTGCATGGCTCTGTGACCTAAAGTAAAAAAGACATTGAAAAAAAATGTTGTGCTATAAATCACTATTACAATTCTTTGCTGAGAAGTCTAAAGTTATGTACAATGGGTGTTGATTTTTTAAAAATCATATTGTAAGCTACATATTATGATGAATAAAGAGACTGGGTTATATGGAGACTAGATAAAACAAAAGTAGCTACATATAAATTATATATCAGTTTTACAAGAAATCATAAATTGGCTATAAGGCTGAACAGAGGTAAGTCAATTAAATACATGATCTTCAAAGTTACAGTTGCTTGTAAGCAAGTGTGCTTCCTAGTAGTTTAAATAAGCTCCATAAATGAAATCTAAACTTAAATAACATTTTTTTTAAAAATGGAAAGATAATTAATGAGAGGGCCGAAATAATAAAGCAAATCAAAGGACAGCTAATAATGACGTCTGTCACAGTAGAACCAAAGAATTTCTAGATACAGTCAAGAATTAAAATACGCAATGGAATTGTTATACACATTCAAATACATAGCAAGGTGATTGATACATGGTACAGATGTATAAAACTTCAAGACAATTAATATATATTCAGTACCAATTTTCAGAATTGTTCACTATGGCTAGTACTTGCATGGGAGACCAGCAATGAATACCAGGTTTTAGAGGAACTATCTATGAGTATTCCTTGCCTTTAAAGAAAACCTATGAAATTAATGGGATCGCCAACAGGTGACTTAAAGGCACACACACATTTGTTGCAGAAAAAAATGACAATCCTCTGGCACTTACACTAACATCTTTCATATGGTATAAGTTTTCAGGAACTGTAGCCTACTTCATTTTCCAGTACTTGTTAACAAGCATCATCACAATTACATTCTGCTATTTTTGTTTTGTGTATTTAGCAACTTCCTTTTTCAAAATCAGCAGTTTTGTGTGTTCATCATGTTTTGGGCAAAATTTCAGTGGAAAGGATCTGTCACTCCCTTTTTTTGCTCAGTGTTAGGAAGAAGGCAGATAGCAGAAGTACTCCATCAGAAAGTGTTTTACCAAAGATAAAATTTCTGCACTAGTTCTTTATGGTCCTCCGTGGCAGATTTCCATCCCTAGAATTATTTTTCTCTTAAGCATGCTCATAAAGCTTTTCAGCCCCGAAGGGCCTCATCCAGCATTGGCTGGAGGGGTCAGTGCATATATGTGCATGCGCACACATATTTTTCTCGCATGCATATACCAAGCATGTACATATATCTCAGCATAAAGGTGTGAGGATGGGATTTAAACCTTCCTTCCCTGGCCACTGGGCATCATTGAGGCAAGGTGCTTCCTAACACCTCAACAATCTCTACCATAGTTTTTTGTGGGTTTTTCGGGCTGTGTGGCCATGTTCTAGAAGAGTTTCTTTCTGACATTTCGCCAGCATCTGTGGCTACAGATGCTGGTGAAACATCAGAAAGAAACTCTTCTAGAACATGGTTGCACAGCCTCAAAAACCCACAAAAACTATGGATGCCAGCCATGAAAGCCTTCAACTTCACAATATCATCCATAATAACTGTTTTTCATTTCTACTGCTATTGGGGGACAGGACTGTTTGTTTTATCTCGTAAGCCTCCCCGGTTGTATTTTACAGAGAGGCGGGGTATAAATGTTATTATTATTTTTATTATTATTAATAGAAGTAGAAAAATAGGAATCGTCCCACAGGTGACATCTTCTCCACCAAGTATGATTCTATGCACTTTTCTGTGCAGCCTACCTGATCTGATTTAAATAAATTGTTAGATGCCTTGAGGCTCATTAGAGCAAGAAAGGTGGGATATAAATTAATAAAACAGTAGTAGTAGTAGTATTTTATCAGTAGTGTTAGTAGTAGTGAGAGCCAACGTGGCATCGTGATTTCAGCATGGGACTATGACTCTGGAGACCAGGGTTCAAATCCCAGCTCAGCTATGTAAACCCACTAGGTGACCTTGGGCGAGTCACACTCTCTCAGCCTCTCAGGGGAAGGCAAAGGCAACCCCCCAAGAAACTTGCCAAGCAAGCACCGTGGTAGGTTTACCTTATGTCGTGGTAGGTTTACCTTATGTCACCATATGTCGGAAACAACCCGAAGACACACAACAACCAAGTAGTAATAGCAGTAGTAGTCTGGAGGTGAGATGCTATCAGCAGCCCTAGGACAATTATTTCAATCAGAATTGCTGAGTGCTTGGGGAGGTTTCCCTTTCGCTACACCCACCTAGCTGGGAGTAAGCACCAATGAACTTACTGTAATAATAATAATAATAAATTTTTATTTATAGCCCGCCCCTCTGCACAGCATCGGGGCGACAAGGATTGGATTGCACTGTTAAAAATGTCACATCTATTGTTGCATTTCTTTTATTTTATTTATAGGTGCCATTACAGTGGTTGGATATTACAACACTGAATTGCTGCAAAGTTAGAAAATTAAATTATGGGTTAAGCATAACTCATATTTTAAAATCAAAACTCCAAAAACTGGGCCAAGCTGTGCCCTTGTACACAGGGGGAGCAGGTTGGTCCCTGAACTATAGAATCCAAATTTTCTCCATAGCTGTTCTCCAGAGTGCTGTATTTCAACCAGTAGAAGAGAACTGATTATTCTAAAAATATAGCTGATGAGATAAATAAAAATTCATCTGGGCTACATTTAATTAGTCGAAGAAGAAGGAACCAAGAGACCTTAAAAGACACTTTCAGACATAATGCATACTCAAGTGGATAAGAGAGGTCACCAACCACAAAAAAATTCCACTGCGGGAACTGGCTAACTACTTCAAAAAAATCCTGGTGAAATATATCAGCTCAAGTCAAGTAGGTCGGTTGAGCCACTTCTCACTTTAAAGTCCAGATATGTAAAAGACGTCAGCAGTGTGTGTCCAAGAAAGTGTGATAGTTCAGGATGAATTAGAAATGAATTTTATTTAGGAATATGATGGGGAAATTGGCAGATTATTTTTTATTTCTTAAGCAACATGAAAATGCCACTTCATTATATTATAAAAATAGAAAATGCTGTTATAAAAAGGGGTTGGACTGGATGACCCTTGGGATCCCTTCCAATATTAGGATTCCTTGTTTGGACTACAACCAAACTAGAAGTGCTTGTCGTTGTTGTTTTTGTGTGCCTTCAAGTTGTTTTAAGCTGAGGAAAGGTCTTTGTTTGGACTTCTCCCAAACCTTCTTTTGCCATGTTATTCTGGTCACTTTTTGCTTTGAAAGGAGAAGGGTGAGAGAAGTTTTAAAAGAAGGTCTGTAATGCAAATTATATTAGCACCAATATGCATAATTAGTGTAAATGTTCAGTTTCTCTTTTGTCATTTGGGAAATCTGTCAAGAAAGGTCTTTCTCTTCTCTGAGAGGAAGGGATGAACAACTTAAAAATGTTTGAAGATTTTTGCATTCTCGTTCCCCCTCCTTAGATAGATAGGGTTTTCCTGCATGCAAACTCCTCTCTCTCTCTCTCTCTCTCTCTCTCTCTCTCATTCAAACTACAGTAACCATATGTGTTAGGTCACTCTCCTTTTTGGGACTAACAGTTATTCTCTCTCAAAGATTTTCAACCGAACTGCATGTTTTCCATCTTCCTCTCTCAACTTTCTTTGGAAAGATGGTGAGATAAAGATTACTTTTCTACCTGAGCCATTCACTAGCTAGATTAGGATATAGCTTTTATGTGTATATAGATTAAAGCCATTAGTAAACTTTGGTTTGAACTACAAGCTACTTGTTTTGTTTTTGGAGTCAGTCTCAGTTCTTGGGGAAGAATAGTTAGACAAGAGCGCATTTCTGCTATTCTGCTAATTTAAAGCTAGACCCTAACAGGCTTGGCTTTGGTATTTTTGATATTTCAATATTTTTGTTTACTTCAGAATGTCTGAAGCCTTAGGAAACTTAAATTACTCAACCCCCCAAAAAAAGAAAAACAATAACACCCACCCAGTCATTAGAAAAGAGACTTTTTAAAAATTCTCAGCTGGCTTTTCAGGAACGAGACGAGAAAATTGATTTGAGACAATACTACTTTGGACACCTCATGAGATGACAGGATTCACTAGACAAGACAATGATGCTTGGGAAAGTAGAAGGCAGTAGGAAAAGAGGAAGACCACATTGCAGATGGATAGAAACCTTGATAGATCAAGGAAACTATCGCCTTGAGTCTGCAAGACTTGAGCAGGGCTGTTGAGGATCGGGTGACTTGGAGGTCTGTTATTAATAGGCTTACCGTAAATCGAAGTTGACTCGATGGCAGTTAACAACAAAAGCACTGGGGGTACATCTACACTGTGGAAATAATGCAGTTTGACACCACTTTAAGTGCTTTAGCACCATTCTGTGGAATCCTGGAATTTGTAGTTTTACAAGGTCTTTAGCTTTCTCTGCCCATGAATGCTGGTGCCTCACAAAACTGCAGATCCTAGGATTCTGTACAATGGATCCATGGCAGTTAAAGTGGTGTCAAAGTGCAGAACTGTTAAACGTGATTCACACATTTGCCTTCATGAAACTCAATATTTTAAAATATTATTTTGTGCAATTGATCATATACTGAGAGCCAGCATGGCACAGTGGGTTGAGTGTTGGACTACAACTCTGGAGACCAGGGTTCAATCCCCACTTAGTCATAAAACCCACTAGGTGACCTTGGGCAAGTCACACTCTCTCACTCAGCCTCCGAGGAAGTCAATGGCAAACCTCCTCTGAATAAATCTTGCCCCCCCCCCAAAAAAAACCCCAAACACGATAGCTATGTCAGAAACAAATTGAAGCCACACAACAATACATTTCTCTACGAAAGCCCTATTGAGTTCAGTGCAACTTGTTACAGGACTCATTTATCTCATTAGCTTCTAATGAGATGTGAGTTTAGAAGCACTCTTTTACCATCAAACAAAACAAAAGGGCAGATGTCTATATGGAGATAATGCTGGTCTCTACAAAGTCAATGTCAATCTCTTTAAGCTGTCCTCAAGGGGTCAGTGTGGGTCTAAGGAGGGAACTCAGCTGTTTCAATTTCCTTTTCCAATTTAAAACAGACAAGAAGGGGGGGAAGCCCTTCTGTTACCACATACTCTGCATGTGAGCACAGTTTAAGCTATAAATAGAATTTACTAGAAGCTCTTCAAACAAAAGTCAAAGCCTTGTGCAGTTCCAAAATGAAGATGGTGTTCCTATGCACACTACTGGGAATAAGCTCTACTGAGCACAGTGGGACTTTTTTGAGTCAATATGCATATAGGATTGTGCCGCTAGTCCTTTTTCTAAAAAAAGGGAAGAAATAAAAACTGCATTTCCGCGTAGAGGATAATTTCAGCCACAGATGGAGCTTAGTTACATAACTGTAGTGCCTATAGGCAAGTTTGCTTTAGTAACTTTTAAAAAATTAATACCCGTTCTGGTTTATTTCCCCCCCTTCCTTTGTACATGAAGTTTACGGTATTTCGATTTTTTTCCCCGATGCTCACAAAAACAATAGTCACAAAGCATCACATTAAAGCTGCCTCCCATCCAGACGCAAGACTGTATACATATAACCTGTTTTAAAAATACATGCAGTTGCCACTCCGTTTTTGCAGGGGATCCATTCCAGACCCTCCCACAAAAATGGAAAAACGCCAGTATTTGAATGGCGGTGCGCACCTGTGGGCATCCACCCCATTTTAATCCCCTCTGTTTGTCCCCGCAAATGGGCGAGGGATGTGGACTCGAAGTCCATGAAAATGGAGGGGCAACTGTATTTCCTGTATGCTTATAACCAAGATAACAGCTTGCAACACTGTTTTATACTTAACTTAGGCTGACCCAACTCATTCATGGCTATGAATGAACTTAGGAAGCATCCCTGTTTTCCAAGTTGCCTGTTCTCTTTCTTTCTTTCTTTCTTTCTTTCTTTCTTTCTTTCTTTCTTTGGAAAGATCAATACCCCACATATACTAAGGGGGGTTGCAGACTGCCAGAAATAGTGCAAATTGAGTCCACTTTTAGGGTTAGGGTTAGTGCTAGGGAATCATGGGAATTGTTTTTTTTCTGAGACATTGAGCCTTCTCTGTCAGAGAGCTCTGGTGCCACAATAAAATACAGTCCCCATGATTCCCTAACCCTAACCCTAACCCTTAAAGTGGACTCAATTTGCACTATTTCTGACAGTCTGCAACCCCCCTAAGTTAAGCCACCTAAAGATCTCTAGCAATTTCATATCCCCAAGGTGGGTTGTGATTGTATTTCCTTAATAATAACTCACATGGATCCCAACTTGCTAAAAAAATGCTACATTTTTGGTACACTTTTATTATAAATGCATGTCGCAATATATGCCCATGATCTTGGACAGAGCTTTGAAGTAGCATGTCACAAGCAGTATGCCTGGTGTAACAAGTATTGTTTTCTAATTTCTTAAAATTTTCATTTTTAAAGGGCATTTTAAGGCATTTTGATAATTCAAATTTAACTCCATTTTCTTATCATCCCAAAGCTTTTTTTTTCTCAAAAATGTAAATAAAAAGTAATAACCAGTTAAAAAGTCAACAATGTTACTTTCCTCAGTACTATAACTACTGTATATATTCATGTATAAGTCTAAAAATTTTAATTAAAAAATTGACCCCAAAAAACCAGGTCAGCTTATTCACAGATCAAGGTAGGTACTGTACCTTATCTCTTATCAAAATAGGAACCATCCCCTTCTTTGAGTAGAGTGGCAAAAGATGAGAGTGTGGTTCAGCCTAAAAGAAGTGCCAACCCTCTCTGCTCCCTCCATTGCAGTGCCATTTGTGGTCTTTTTTGAATGTCTGGATGGGGAAAATAGTGGCATGCTTTGGCATCATTTTCCTTTCTTTCATCCTTTACATCCTTCGTTGCATGCTCCTAAATTTTACTATATCAAGCTCCATTATTTTGGTCCCCAAACCTGCCCTCAACTTATACATGAGATCAACTTATAGTTGAGTATAT